TGTCTTTCAAGGACACCAAGTGACACTGGATTCTGTTTAATAGCTACAGCAGGTTATCTGTAGGCAAATACAATTCCACAAAAAGCTCTGCGCATCTACTCTGGGTCATTTGTCTCTCTTGGCTTATCAGTGTGGCTTATAGGGTTGGAAATGAAGTCTCTGACCTGAGACATGAACTCTCTCCTAGGTCCTGGCACAGGCCTTGCTGATTGTGGCTATGGTTTATTATGGGGTTCATACAGAGAAAACAATTTTAACCAGAGGGTGGGGTACGGAAGCTCCCTATATTGTCCAAGCTGACTCAGAACTCTTGTGCTTCCTTTCCTGTCCCAGCGTCTGAAGTCCTGCAATTACAGGCATGTGCCACCACCCTGATACTTTTTTGGTTCATGACAGAACTAAGAGTGGGCAGGGTTAGTGTAGAGAGTCGTACAGTGGGGAAAGGGACCAAAAGGAGATAGAAGAAGGATGCCTGGTGGACAGCAACAGTAGCCAGTGTAACAATGGGAATGGTTGTTTGGTTTGGTATGACAGAAACTGGCAGGCGATGGCAGTCAGTGGAGGGGCAGGCAGTGGTGAGGTTGGCCTGTTGGGGTTACCAATGCACACTCAGGTGGAAGGGTGCTGGGGTCACACCTACGTGACAGATGTTGCTGTTACGATAAATCTTTCTGCCACCCACTTGAGTTCTGCCTGCCAGATGGCCAAAATAATACACAGAGACTTATATTAGGTACAAATGCTGCTTGGCCAATGACTAGGATTTCTCATCTTCTAGTTCAGTCTTAATTATCATAAATCTATATATTTTGTAAGACTTATCGGATGCCTTCTGCTGGCGTCCTCATCCCCGGGATCACATGGTGGCTCAGAGCAGAGAGCAGGAGGAAGAGCGGAGGGGAAAAGGAACTGCTTCCTGCTTGTCCTTGCTGAAATATGAATCTCCCTGCTACACTTCCTGCCCGGATCACCACTTCTTTACTACATTTCCCAGAATCCTCCTGGACTCCTAGTCCCATCTAACTTGCTGCCTCATTGGCCAAACAATACTTTATTCAACAATCAATAAGATGAACATACACAGAAGTACATTCCCCATCATGTTGCCTCTCGCTACTCTCCCGGATCATGTTTACTTCTTCCCCCCCTTGCCCACATTACTTTCCGAATCCCAAACATGGTGTAACTTTTATCCAGTATTAAAATTCTGACTGAAAATAACCTATACTTAAACAGCACATTTTAGTCACAATGGCACCAACCAGAGGGCAAATGAGTAGGGACATGGCAGTGGTTGGTTCCAGTCTGCACAGATTTTTGGAGTTAGCCTCAAACTGGAGATCTATTATCGTTGAACCTGCAGTCTGTACAATCAGAATGTGTCATATGTAGACTTCATTATCTGATATCAAGGAATATGGTGGCCACAGTATCTAATAGAATAGCATGTGGTGACCATAGCTTATAAGCAGACAGATTTCACTGTCCTTCAATTTTCATAAACATACTAACTAAATTCTGGCTGAGAAAAGGCAGAATTGGATAATGGCATAAACATCTTAAGATTTTTGCCATCCAAGTTGATCACCGTAGAGATAAACAGAAATCATGGATGATTCAAGAAAAGTGAAGAATCTGAGAAAATTTGCCCACCTTTAACAATGAGGAAACAAGGAAACAGAAACCTTCTTCAGAGTAGACCCATAGAGTGGGTCTGCAGTGACAAGCCGAGGACAGAAGAAGTTTTGTGGGATCAGCTGATATTTTTCGAGACCATAACGACAGCAGAGGGTGTGGTCATCATCAGGGGAAGTTATGAGTGATACTCCTAGATATTCCATATCTTCCAGGAGACACCACTAAAGGTAATGGGTCAAGGCTTTTTAAAAATTATTGTTCCTATTTACAAAGTATGTGCCTTGTATTATATATTCCAAGTAAACTAGGAGATGCTCAGGCTCAGTGTAAACTCTGACATGCTATGCATGACACTTGAGACTCTTCAGCAGTTGGTGCCTGCAGATGGCCTGGAAACCAGTCTTCCCTGGCTGAGGACTACATGTGTATTTTATCTTAACAGAATTCTGGTCAGGCATAATCTTCTTAAAGGATATCTCCCAACATATCCTGAGAACTTCAGGGTGGGAAGGAAGTAAGCTGTACTTTGTTACATGTAAGTGAAAAACTACAAGGTAAGAGACAGTGCTCAGCTTGGACCCACCCTTGTTCAAACAAAAGCAGAGGAAGAGCTCACGCTAACAATCTACCAAGAGACTATTTTGGCGAGCACATGCACCATCAGCAAAAACGCATCTCCTGGTTATAGTAACTTTTATTGGATGCTTTAGAAACAACCTAGCTGCTGTCAAATTAAACAAGATGGGAAGAACTCAGGGGGGAAACAGCAATCATCTACTCACTTTCTTCCTTATGTTTGCATGTGTCATCAGAAAGGAAAACTAATGAATGTTTTCCTGGGTTTTGGTGTCCTCTGTCACCGGGTATTGTCTCATACATGCAAGCCAGTCTGTTCAGACATGTTCAGACTCTCTCATGAGGCCTGAAGGAATAATAGATTAACTCCAGATAGAAGTTATGGATGGGCTCAGCTTATACCTTGTAAGCAACACTTAAGAGGGGTACGCACCCCACAAAAATAGGAAATTCTATACAGGCAGGCTGGCACAAAATAGGACAGGAAGCTCTGTTCCTTGTTGAACATGTAACTTGAGCAGGGTAGAAGCTTGCCTTGTAAGATGAAGGTTCCAGATGAAGGAATTATTTGTGATCAGTTATTTCCCTAGCTACAGAAGCAAGTTATATAGATGTGAAATGCACTAAACACAGCAGCCTCCTGGCATCCTCATATAATAAAGGTTTTTTTTTTTTTTTTTTTTTTTTTTTTTTGAAATAGGCTCTCAGTGTGTAGCCCTGGCTGGCTGGCCTGAACTCTGTACATAGACCAGGTTGTCTTTGAACTCATGGAAATCTGTGTCTGCTTTCCTAGAGCTGAGACTAAAGGCATGTGCCACCATCCTACCTTGAAGAGACTTAAATTTGCCACTTCCCACTTATTTTCTGGCATGATGTTAACATTCGCAGCCCACACTTTGGGAAAGGGATCTTTATATGGCTCTGGCTTTAGCATTCCATTAATCTTTCCTTGGAGACCCCACTGCTTCCTTCAGACACTGTACTCTGTCTCCTGTCAAGTCTGCAGCCTCTACTTTCATGACCTTTGCTACTATGTGAAACTACCAGGGTTGGAGCAGATGACTCTAAAATCTATATAATCTGTGGGTGGGGCAGGGCTGGAGAGATGGCAAAGTGGTTAAGAGCACTGGCTGCTCTTGCAGAGGACCTGGGTATAGGTCCTAGCACTTACATGGTAGCTCATAGCCATCTGTAATTCCAGTTCCAGGGGATCCAGCACCTTCTTCTGATCTCTGCTGGCACCAGGCACACATGTGGAGATTTTGCACATGCAGATAAAACACTTGTAGATATAAAACAAATCCAAAGAAATTTTACAAACTCTACACAAACTCTGAAATTTGAGGGTTCTTTGAAAATGTTCACTGAAGACCAAGAAGGATATACACACTCAGGTCACCATCATCATCATATTACAGTTTCCTCAAGGGCTGTGTTCATCTAGCAGGTGCTAGCACCATAGGGGTCAAGAGCAACATGAGTTTCATAGTTCAAATTCAGCCTAAGCACCACCAGTTCCTGGCAGAAGCCAGGGGTCAGGATGGCAACAGAGTAGGGACATGAGAGATACGAAACGAGAATAAACAGACCACCAGTATTCCACACACAGTTTCTTTTTTTTCCAGACACTCTTGGTATATTATCTTTTTTAGCTCTGCCTTGACTATGAACATCTCATCGTTCTTTGATCTGTTTCCAAAAATAGTGTAAGATTTAAAAACATTTTAAAGAACTTTTGGTCAGTTTCTCAAATTTTGAAATGTCTTATTCATTAGAATCCAAAGAAATAGTAACGGGTGAGGAAGGCCAACTACTTATCTTCAACAGGTAGGTGTGCCAGTAAAACCTGTTTGGTCTACAGCTGGGCCGTGGTGGCACACACCTTTAATCCCAACTCTCAGGGAGCAGAGGCAGGTGGTTATCTTGACAGTTCCAAGGCCAGCCTGGGCTATAAGTGTGAGTTCCAGGACAGGCTCCAAAGCTACAGAGAAACCCTGTCTTGAAAAATAAAAATAATAATAATAAAAAAAACACAACAAAAAACCTTTTTGGTCTGACCCCACTTCAAGCAATCCAGGTGTCATTGCTGTAATGTTAGTGTCACAGCTGCTGACACGCATTTTAAATATTGGAAGTTTGCATGTATGTGTGAGAGCATGTACATATTGTGATTAATGTGTGGAGGGCAGAGGGCAACCTACAGGAGTCAGGTCTCAACCATGTGGGTTCTGGGAATTGAACTCAGGCCATTAGGCTTGGCAACCAGTATATTTAACTACTGAGCCATCTCGGTGGCTCATGATTTCTTTTTCCCATGTCACTGGTTTGTGTATAGCAGCCCAGGCGTGCTTCAAGCTCACTATGACAACTGAATCAATTCTTCCTTGCCTCTACCTCCCTCGTGCTGGGCTTACAGGTGAGCTCTGGGTTTGTGTGTTGACTAAGATTAAATCCAATGCTCAAACTCATAGCAATCCTTCTGCCTCAGCTTCTCATGTGCACACTACCACGCCCCATTTGGCTATGGTGTTAAATGCTTTACAGGTAAGGGTGGTTCAGCCAATGAAGACACAGCACAGAGAAAGAGACTGGTGAGAGGTTCTGGGTCTGAGGTGAGGAAACAAAAAGCTAACTTTCTGTTTTAACTAAAAATTATTTATTTTTAATTTTATATACATTGGTGTTTTGCCAATTTGAAGGGAAAAGCAGGACTTAATTCCAAACATTCTCCTTCTCCCATCTAACTGGGTTCAAGTTGGTTTGATCAATACTCAAGAGACTCAACGTGAACACAAAGTCGAGAATAGAATTTTAATTAGTATCAAAATTAGGACTTCAGGGGTCCAATTTAGTACTTGCTGGAATAAAATTGCAAACTGTTACTTGGTACTTGACTTGGCTTCTAAATCACGTCAGAATTACATACTCTGTATATTACTTTAGTATATGGCAGTACATCCCATGATTACATGCAGAGATGGAGAGACCAGCTATAAAACCAAAATCAACATCAGTATTGACGAAAGTAAGAACCGGCAACAGCTGTCCAGAGGTGCACAGCATCTACTTTTCACTGAAAGAGTGGTTTGAATGCTGTTCTTTCCAAGAGTTGACATAAACTCATGCAATGAAAATTCAACTGCTTTGCAGGGTGAGGAAAAGCAAGCAGACATACTCCTTTGCTTACGGAAGCAAACTTCTCCTTTCAGTTGATATTCAACATATGCTCAGCCACCTTTAACGACAGCCATACAACATGGGTTCAACATTCCTGAGAATTAAATGAAACCCACTAAATAAATAGGCTATGAAAATGACCTGAGTTCACAGGAATCTCCAAACTCAAAAGAAGATGCTTGGCTCTGCTAAAATTCATCAAAAGCCTTTACAGCAAGGGCTTTTGTGAGCTACACACCCGTCACGCAGCCTTAGCATTCTTAAACCCTGGAAAGAAGTCTGCGTATTGAGCAGATTCAGTGGCATCGAGGAGCCATCCAGCACTGAGGGCAAGCACTAACACCCAAAAAAAGCCATGAGCTCTGCCACCCTGCAGAGAAAAGAGAGGGGGTGTGGGCTGACTGGCTCTGGTCCCAGCAGCTGCAAAACTCCCTTACACATGAGAAAAGACAGCACCTTGAGTGGAATATAGGGAGAGCCACCGGGAAGCGAGTATTGGACATGGCAAGGAAAGCTACTGTTGCCCTAAGTGAACCCCCTTCTGTAGGAGTCCAGATGTATCTGCAGGCAATGCTGGGCTTCACGGCCACTCTTTTCCAGCTTATTAACAGCTACAGACTACTCAGGGTCACACGTGAATGAAGTCATCAAGTAGCACAGAAAAGATATGGTCTGGCTTCAATCCAAAGTCTCTCCATTTTCTGTGTAATCTAATGCAAGGCACTGCAAATATTGGTGCCTCAGTATATTCACGAGACATGGTAACACATGTTCACTTACCTCAGGAAGCCGATGAATATACACTTCAGATGAATAGCACTGTGGAAACAATTGCAGCCCAGAACACCCTCCCCCCCTTACTGTCCATTTATTGTGCTCACAACACCTCATGCTTTTTTTCTTTTCTTTTTGGGTTTTTCGAGACAGGGTTTCTCTGTGGCTTTGGAGCTTGTCCTGGAACTAGCTCTTGTAGACCAGTCTGGTCTCGAACTCACCGAAATCTGCCTGCCTGCCTCCCGAGTGCTGGGATTAAAGGCATGTGCCACCACTGCCAGGCATCTCATGCTTTCTTTTAGAGCTTTAAATAGTAATTGTTGGTGGCATTCCATCCCTTCACATGTGTTAGCTGTTTGGCACACAGGTGTTTATACGTTTCAAGTCATCATATTCTCTAGTCCAAAGGTGTTTTCTAACTTTCTAACAAAGTGTGCCCAACGTGGAGTCCCTGCGTTGAAAATTTCTAGCTTGCTCTCAAGGTACCTGGGACATCATTAAAAAAAAAAAAAAAAAAAAAAAAAAAAACTGGTGCTGTGTGAAACCATGTTTTTAATGAAAAACAAAACAAAAAACCCCAAAAACCTGACATATGCCACAGCATCACCTGGTCATCTGAAGGTACAAAGATGGATTTTGGGGAAAATGGGCCTCAACATGATACAAAATAACTGTGGCTCAAAAGAAACATTAAAAATGTAATGTTTCATACACTGAAATAACTAGAGATAATAAATTATAAGTATAGTTCAAACATTGCTTTTTAGCATTAGTTTTTTTAAAAAAACAAGTAAAATTTAGAACATTTTATATTTGTTATATTCTTCTTTCAAAGGAACTGTGGACATGGAAGTCTTCACAGAATCAAAAACCATGATGCCACCTTGTAGTCATCACACAGAGTGTACTGGGTTCTGACCACCTGAGAATTAGAACATCTTTAGATTAATACATTATATTAGACTTCTCTGGAGAACTGGACCATGACGGCTGCCTTCACAAAGCTCATCTAAGTCTGCCGCACTTCCACGCACGCCTGGTGATTCTCTGCAGGGGCTTTGCTAGACTCGTAATCAAAATTACAGAAACAGTAAATAACTTCTTTTGAACTGAAAACGTGTTTTTGTTCTCTTTTAAAAATAAAATAAAGTGCTTATAAATTAAAGTATTTCTTGCCCTAAACAAAACTGGAATCTTGAAATCTCCGTATCTTGACACATTTTAACAGAGAAAAAAAAAGTTTTGGGTCAGTCATATCCTTCCAGAGTTCAGATTGGATCTAGGCTGGGCTTTGCATCATTATCATGCTCGTGTTTGTACATGAATGTTAAAAGAAAAAGAGCGACATCCAAGGATGACCAGTAGGCAGTGTGCGATGTGACGGCTGACCAATAGCGGCTCTCCACGAGGCCTTCTCTGAGTTCAAAGTCAATCCTGTGCTCCAGCTCCACTGAAAAGACAGAGTTAAATGGAGATTAAGATGAGTCTGATACAGGCTCAAATAAGTTGGGTGAAAAAAATCTATCGAATGGAAATGACTTTTAAATTGTCACCCCCTTCACTCTAAATTTATGGGACAGTAAAAAAGCCAAAGCTATCTGGGTTCTGCTGGTGAGCTCTGTTCCTGCTCAAGTCAGCAAAGAATAACAAGGAAAGCAAACAAATAAAAAAAGTCCACTTGCTATCATGACATATTTTGGAGTTAGAAGACTGTATCTTATCTCCCTTCCTTGAAGAATTTCCTGCATTCCCAGGGAAGTGGGGAGGTCACCTGATGGCTCCTCAGTGAGGGGGCCCTACAGAACATGAGCTTCTGTGGGGAAATGTTCTACAACAACCATCCCTAAAATATTAATTATTACTATTATCTTATAGCTCAACAGTTTTCTTCCCCATTAGGCTGAGTTCTTTAGAGGCCACCGCCACATACGTATCAGACTGCATTGATTCAGCAGGGTGGAGCCTGTGCTTTCGACATTCAAGTACTTAAAAGACCCCACTGTGTGATAGGAAGAGTTAAACTGGGGGAGTACCCTGTAGTAGGAAGGACTTTAGCTGTAATTTTCTATAAATACAATTAAGCCTTTCCAGAACCCACAAACAGTTTGTCAATACTGGAGAGAAATGAACAGATCAAGGCTTTTGTCAAATCTTAATGGGCTAATAGACCCTCAAAAATAACACATTTGGAAAAATGACATCAGGAGGGGCTGGAGGGATGGCCTAAGCCTGGGAACCTAAGTTTGATTCCTGGAATCTATGTAAAGAAGAAACTCCACAAGGTGTCCTCTGACTCACATATATACATCATGTATGTGCGTATGTGCACATAAGCTCAGGAAACACACATACACACACACACACGGATTATGATATTATACAATATTTTGAAAGATCTGTTTTATAAACAAAAAGGCTCAGGTCACTACCAGACACTTACTATCATCTCTGTGCAGTGCCAAAGGATGTCAAAAGTGAAAAGTGGCAAAAATAATGAAGGCTGGAGAAAAAAAACAACTAGGTTTTGCTTTATATTGGGAATGTGGTAGTCACACATAAGAAATCATACCACTCTAGAAAATAATCTTAAATAAATGTTTGTTAATGCTATTTTGTTGTTGAGTTTTGGGGGGACAGGGTTTCTCTGTGTAGCCCTGGAACTAGCTCTGCAGACCAGGCAACTCTGAGATTTGCCTGCCTCTGCCTCTCTAATGCTTGGATTAAAGGCGTGCCCCACCACCGACAGCTGCTAATGCTAGTGTTAAGCAGGTCCTGTTTTGTGGTAATGTTTGGCAATTTGAAATATAAACATAAAGTAATTACCTTTCAGTTATGCTTCTCTGATTTCTAATTTATCTATGAATCTGCTAGGAAAGATTTATGTTTAAGAGGTGGAATGCAGACTAGGCTAAAAAATACTTGTATAAAACGCCGACATACAACTTTATTTTATTTATTTATTTATATATTTATTTTATTTTTTGGTTTTTCGAGACAGGGTTTCTCTGTGTAGCTTTGGAGCCTATCCTGGCACTCGCTTTGGAGACCAGGCTGGCCTCGCAGTCACAGAGATTCACCTGCCTCTGCCTCCTGGG